AATGCATGTCGAGATGTCATGCCGTCGCGAGATATCTCGATAAGACCAGTGTCTGAAGTTCAGGGCTGAACGACCTTGAACTGTTGCGATAGGGCTTCGTCTAACAGATGATCCATCGAGCTGGAGTCCTATCATATCTACTCGAATGGAATAGGTGGTGACCAACAGCCGAGTCGATCTCACCAATTCGTCAAAATCGAAGTTCCTTGGGTTGTATCGATGAAATGAGTCACCGCGGATGGAGAAATCGATCTCACGAAGGCATATCTCGTTATGGCATAGTCGCCCCGAGTGACGGAATCGATCTCACGAAGGCATATCTCGTAATGGCATAGTCGCCCCGAGTGACGGAATCGATCTCACGAAGGCATATCTCGTAATGGCATAGTCGCCCCGAGTGACGGAATCGATCTCACGAAGGCATATCTCGTTATGGCATAGTCGCCCCGGATGACGAAATCGATCTCACGAAGGCATATCTCGTAATGGCATAGCTGGCCCGAATAGAGGAATCGATCGCACGAGAGCGTATCGTGTACTGGCGTAGTTGCCCCGAATGGAGGAGTCGTTTCACGGAGGCGTACCTCGCGATATCATAGTCGCATCGACCTCACCGAGTACATGCTCCATTTCCACTTGATTACTACTCCGACAGTAGTCTCCCATCGATGGAGTTGTTGAACTTATATCGTAAGCAGCGATATGCTATATTTTTCTACGCTAGAGTAAGTAGCGTTGTGGAAGAAATTCTGTTTAGACGACATTTCCTCATTTTGTGCTGACATTCGATCAGTCTTTTCAGCTTAGCTTCCAGTATTGTCGATTCCGCGACGGTGGTTGACGAGCTCGCCAAACAACTCATCGAAGAGGGTACAGTATATAACGGTATAGTTAGTGTTCTGTCCGGTCGGTGCGACAAGGAAAAATATGGCGTTCGGGAACGCGAACTCCTCCACCTTAGGGCGATAGAGGTCCTCAGATGAACACATTCCATTGGCCTCAATTGGGCGCTATACAGCTGATTTAGTAGGATGAACCGTGAATTATCGACTGGACTACCTCGCAACGGTCGACTTCGACACGGTTTAGAGGCTCCCGACTGCATTTTCGACGCAACAGGTTAACATCGGTGAGTTAGATGGTCGTTTAGTATCTCGCTGATTTGAGGAGCGCAAACTTCAGGATGTCGAAACTCGCGAACCGGAGCCCCATGGGAACCGGATCGTGATGCGTCTGTCTGACGACCGTCCACTAGAAATACGTAAATGATCACATGAGATTAATGCGAGCATGTAGGTGCTGTGTGAGGATTTGGTTAGTTGATTGAAGCACTTGCGCGCAAGTTGCGTTTCAGATCAAATTCGACTTTATACGAAGGATGAGCGCACTTTCTTTGACCCGCTTTCTGGTCTGCTGGGAAGGATTGGAAGTAGTGCATCAAGTGATCTATCAGAATCTCGCAGTCATACACTGGTCAGGTGACTATCCCTGGGATAGTATCCCACGAGTGAATGAATGTCCTGGGGTGAGTGAGAGTTGTCCCGCACAAAGTCGCGCTGCTAGCTGCCGTGACCTCGCTGCGAGTCTCCAGCTTGGTGGGTGGAGCACAGTAGAAGGAGTTGTTGACAGCAGGCCGTTGTTCTATCGTAGTCTACGATTCGTAGAGCAATATACTCCTAGACTTCCTTGAGGGGAAGCACTTGGCTGAGATACCCTCTTGTTGGAATTTGCGCTCTCCCGACTGCGGAACTCGATGCCATGATGGTCTCAATGAAGTAGAAAAACTCTGACTCTCACCATTTATCCTACTTGCAGCTATTTGCCGCTACGAAATCAACTATCTGTCATGATGTACGCATAAACAAGTGAAAGAAAAAGCAACGCGTCACGGATTATGTGCGCGCGTGCGAACTATGGAGCATCCTCAATCTCTCACATGCCCCCCGGATGATCCATAGTACGGACGGACATTCAAATAATGACTAGTTTTAGTGGAAGATGGTTCACCAACCTTGGATAGTTTCAAGGTTGTGCCATCAAGAATATCATTAACGACATAAGGTTGGCGATCATAGGTCCCTCCTTTGCCAGCGACCCCGGGTTCGTAAATAAGTACCGTAGAACCAACAGCTGGAGGGCCTCTGCGCAGGTGGCCGCGAGCAGTACTGACCTCATCATCGCGAATACGCAAGGCGGCGCATACCAGACGATCGATCTCATCACGGGTCTCCTTCCTGGCTTCCTCAGATTCAGGAGTAGCATGAGCCTCAGCAGCTACTCCAGTGTTCTCCAGAGCCACTTCCAATGGCAGACGGAGACTCCGACCGAAGAAAATGTCGAAAGGAGATAACTCGACGTGATTCAGTGCCTTGGCGTTAAGGCGGAAGAGCACGCGAGGCAAAAATTGAGGCCAATTACGTTTATTCTTCAACGAACGAGAGATAAACTTGATGGAGGATATGGCCCGCTCGACCGCTCCATTAGAGAATGGGGCAAAAGGTCCAGTCATCTTATGGCGTATACCGTATTTCTTGAGCATGGCAACAAAAGGGCGTCCCCTGAAACAGGGACCTGCATCACTGCGAAGTGTTAGCATGCTCCCGAACATCATAATGTAAGACTCCACCGTGCGACTAACAGTAGGAGCCTTCATATCTGGCAATGGACGCACCAACCAATAGCTACTGTAATGATCAATCAAGAATAATGCGCAGGAGAACTTATTGGTACGATCAATCACCATGTCAGCGATGTCTACCGATACCGTCTGCCACGGAGCAGATACTCCCATAGTTAGGGTCCTGCCAGAATCCAGCAAAGAATAATAACGACGGTTAGACCCGAACTGACAATCAGGACAGGTACGACATACCGAAGCGATCAATGATCTCAAACCGGGCAGGTAGAAGGTACGACTAACCAACCAGCGCAAATGCCTTTGACCCAGACATCCCGGATGTCTGGACCGGAGGTAGAATGGTAGGATGAGACAAGATTCTGCGCATATCTTTTGCCATCATCCGAATCCATAGGTACAGCGTAGCACAGTCGAGATCCTCTAGAATTGTGAACACGAGTTGTGGAGATACGCTTCATGAGTAAACCATCCTCCGCAATCGAGAACTCCTTCAGCTCCTTAGCAAGGTCGCGTGGAAGATCGACTGCTCTGGCAGCCTCACGGTCACCCGGTGCACGGGATCCAAGGGCTGATAAAATAGCGCGCAGGCAAGGCGATCCCCACTGCAGCTTCAACAGCTCGGTTCTCGCGGGACGACCGACAGACATGGCATAACGATCAGGCGGGGCCAACACATCCGTGGCGCTCAAAGCAAAGAGTTGATCATCGTAAGAAGCACAGGTAAAAACTGGTTCGGCATGCTCATAAGCGACGGCAGAAGGCTTGTCGATGGAAGGTCTGCCCCCCTGTTGGATGCCATCCTCCAGCCTCATCGAGTCGCGCTGCAGCAGAGTCGTTGGCACCTTCCATAGCGCGGAGAGCCTACTCAACTCATCAGCGGAGGAGTTCTTCTTGCCGGCGAGATGATAGGTCACGGGGACTAGACCGTAACGACGATGCCAGCTCTCGCGAAGATCAGCCATCGCATCAATCAACCGTGAGATCGCCACTCTCTCTATCGACTTACATGTAAGCTTACTCCCACCAGTAACCCAGGAAATGGCTGTATGGGAGTCGGACCAGAACCGCACCGTCAAAGGCGAGACATACGCAACAACGGAGTTGAGGAATAGATAGGACCCAGCCAAGGCGAATGCTTCCTTACGGTTTTGGTGCCAGTTATATTGTGCATTCTTCCACATTTTCGCTCTGCGATACAGAACAGTATCTTGGGAAGCATGACCAGAGGATTGGGAATCTTCACATCGCTGCTCACCGCGTCGACTAAACAGTGCCACGATTCCCAAACCGGTTGGACTGGCGTCTGCGTAGATGTCGAGATAATCGGCATGGAAGCATACAGCATGATCGCAGACCGCAGGCTTATCCCTCAGAACCTTCACCGCAATGTTGAGAGCGGTCGCTTCGTCTTTAGCTAACACCACGGACTCATCCCAAGACGATGTCTTCCAACGCCCAGACACTCGACGGACTAGGTCGCCTGCTAACGACTGTTCACCATGGACAGAGAGCACATCGAAAGCAGCACCGGCGATCTTAAAAGCACAGCGTTTTGACAGTTTCGAGCCGGCCACCAAGGTCCCGACCTCCGGCAGAGGTATATGTGCGCAGCGAAGACGCAACTCGCAGGAGTTGGTAGTGGTGGGTTGTGCAGCAAATTGGACTCCGAGGTGAGTGAAGTCGTCAAAAGGGTTGCAATGACCTTCGGCGTCGAAGTGGATAGAGTGCATCTTTGCAGCAGAGAACTCGAATCCCCAGGCTGCACCGACACGTATCAACTCGTTTTTGAAGGCGGTGACTGCCTGACGGTCCCCTAGCAATGTCAAGTCATCAACATAAACATAGTGATATAGCGGCAATGACCCGACCACGTCGCTCGAAAGGTTCTGTCGAGCAGCTTGAACAAGGCGATGTAGTACTTCTTCGAGGACTGCAGGGCCACATCGCAGGCCGAAGATGAGGCGTCGAGCCGTGTAGACTCGACCAAAGCAGCGAATGCGGGCGCACTTACGATGGAGTCGAATACGATAAAAAGCCGTCATACAGTCCATCGTCTCAAGAGACAGCAGCGGAAGCAGCGGATGAGTTCGCGCCTTGGCAGCGATCTGCGCGAGGGCAACTCTTATCTGCGAGAGGATGACGGGACATGAGGCACCAACATAAGAGCTGTTCGGAGACTGCCGGTTGCATTGACGCACGTCCACGCAAGGGCGGACCTTCGCCTCCCCTTGCGGCACGGGGAATGCGATGGCCACGGGCAACTGCTCCTCCTCCTCTCTAGTAGTCGGCAGTTCAGCATCAGAAGGACTTATCTCCGACCACCAACCACGTACCGTGAACTTAGCGATCTCTTGCCGAAAGGTGCGCTTCTGCTCTTCGCTCAGGCGATTGTGAAGGGGAATAGAGAAGTCTGCTGGTGATCTCGGCAATTTACTCCCCGGTGGCGCAGTAGTAACCTGCCAGCGGACTTCAGCAACATGTGTTTGATCAGGGCAATCCTTCTCCTCATCGACGCCCATTGGCCTCAGTCGTACCGCGTACTGCGGCGCACCTCTAACGGCACACCAGGAGTCATCAAAGGGACGGTGCTTACACACAGGCTCGGGGGGTTGGCCGCAGTCCGGCTCCACCGCCATAGATGGGAATAGGTCGGACGTTTCTGCCACATGACAGAGGGAGGAATCATCTCGATGAAAACGCACAGTGAGGACCTCGTCGATGACATTGACTGTCCCGTAATCAGCAACGATGCTTTGAGATGCCGATAGATGAGGATGATCAACAGTCGAACGTTGATGAGTAATCGGCCTGCTAATAACGACTCGGCGCTTCCCTCCTTCTTCCGAGAACCGCAGGCTTATGCCAAGCGTGCACATAGAACGAGTACCCAAGATGCAACGATCGTCCAAAGCATCATCAGCAGCAACAGAATTAGCGCGAGGTGGAAGAATGTGGAAGTCCAGTGGGACTTCCATGCCATCATACACAACGATAACACGCACAGATCCACGCACTCTGAGTGTAGATCCATCGGCGAGACGCGCGAGAGCCTCGGATGGGAAGCACTTCCATCCGCGAGCCTCAACGACGGCCTGAGAGATATAATTGCGCACCGCACCCGAATCCAAGAGAGCTTGCAAGGGACGCTGCCCCCCAGCAATCTCGAATAGCATAGTAGGACCGACATACTGCTGTCGATCCCCACCGGCAGAAGGCATAAGGTCCGGCATCGCCCACAACATTTGCACCTGCTCCTCCTCAGCGGGCCTCTCGCCTATTTCTTTTTCTTCGGGTGGGCCCTCCTGAACCGTCTTCAAAGCTGTTGGTTTCTTGCCGTTAGCATTATCCGATCTCTTCTTGTTGTGCGCATAAACACAGCGATCACCAAAGCGACAGTTGCCGTTCAGCCATTGACGACACTCCTCCCGCGGTCCAGATACATGAGAGAACTTGCATCGATCTCCGTAGCTGCAGGCCCCTCGAAGATGCTGTCGGCAGATACCCGGAGATGTGGGAGGCTTCTGTCCTCCTTGAGCGGCTGGGAGACGCTGTTGACCTCCCTTATCACGAGCTGCAAATTTGGCTTGGTCTGGACGTCCTGAATGACCAGGTTCACCACCTTTCTTCTGCTCACTGTCAACTCGCGCTGCCCGCGTCATAGCTCTGACGCGAAACTCACGCAACGAGCTAGGGTACTCATAAGAAGCGTCTCTGCATGCCGAATCGTTAATGCCCACACGGTAAGCTTTAATGATATGTCCATCAGAAAGAGCAACCCCAGCGCTCTTGCAGCGCCTGGTCCATTTATCGATCTTAGCAATGAAGCTCGTAAGCGACTCGCTTGATTGGCGAACCACAGTCTCGGATAGCAACTTTTCAGACTCCAATATACCACCGCTATCCTCTAACAAAGTCTGATGTATGCGATCGACGGCTTGCGCATAACCCGAGAGCGTCACTGGTGCCTCCTCGTCCAAGACATCTCTAGCCTCATCCTCAGGTACGAGATTAGTGAGGAGAAAGTACTGTTCCGGCCCACCAAGACGCCAACCACGGCGAACAACGAAGCTCTCCAGCTGCCACCAAAACCCGGAGAGGCCACGAGGATCATCAATACCAGAGTAGGGTCCACCCTTGAATGCTTTAGCTGCCTTATCGGCATCCTTGTGAGCCAGTCTCCTCCGACTTTCGTCCACCGCCTCCGTGGATCCGGCGCTTGGAACCACAGATTCAGTTCCGACTCGTTGCACAGTTGCTTGAGCCGCAGATGAGTGGACACTTGGATGGGAAGAAATGGCAGGCGCTGCCGAGACCCTCTCTACTTGAATTGGCGACAGACGAGCAGGGGCGAGTCCCTCAGGTGTCCCCGTGCGTCTTGAAGGCGGCGAAGAGCTCGGCGGAACTTGAAGGAACCAGTCTCTCCACCCGGGTGAGAACACGCTGGAACGTACGCTCTGCAGCTCTCGAAGGGCAGCGAGATTGCGGCGGCGATAGTCCGGGAGAAGGTGTTGGGGCGAGATGCGATCAACAAGCGTCTGCGTATGCAATGCTCGGGTAACGACCATATCAGAAAGGTTCCTCGAGAGATGCTTGATCTCATCCTGCTGCAAGACTCCTTCGGCGGCACTGGTACAGGCATGCTCAATGCGCCGAGCGACGTATTCTACGAAGCGATCACCAACCACCCCCGTGATGTTGTCCTTCTCCTCGTCGCTTAGCGTGCCCCACTGCCTCTCCACTAGCGCTACTGAAAGCGCGTCAGCACATGTTTGCAGGTCGGGCAAGATGCTCGTGGTGAGGGCTCCCTCAACAACAGCCAGGATTATGTTAGCAGCGTCGTCAGAAGCAGTAGAATCGTCGAAGAGAGGACGGGGAGATCCAGCAGTGAAAGTGATTGCATCGACCAGGTGGGGCAGGGTCCCCGCATCGGAGCCAGATATTGGAATTTGCGCTCTCCTGACTGCGGAACTCGATGCCATGATGGTCTCAATGAAGTAGAAAAACTCTGACTCTCACCATTTATCCTACTTGCAGCTATTTGCCGCTACGAAATCAACTATCTGTCATGATGTACGCATAAACAAGTGAAAGAAATGTTGCAGATCAGGGATGAGAGACAACGTACTCGCAGAACGCAAGATACGATCGGCTGCTGACGAGGGTGTATACTACGCAGATGGTAGAACCAACTGTATATAGCTATGTCAGCTACTTATGAAAGAACGAGAGGAAGTAAGATAGCAAGATTGAGTGTCCGATCAGCAACACTCCCCGGGCGGCCGAAGCCACATATTACTTCAAAAGATAGCAAAAATGAAGAAGAATATCAATGACTACTGATCAACAACATCAACTGCTGCGTTAACCTTCTTCAGGTTACCGATGTAATCAAATCTAACTTGACCAACAGTATGAGTGATACCAGCGATCACTCCATTGATACTAACTACAGTATAAATTACATCCTCAATCCAACGTCTATCTAGCTTATTGCGACCATGATTGTAACGCACAACCTGATCACCTGGTTTGAGACTGAATGAGGCTCTAGCTATGCTTTGACCAGCATAAGAACTGCGAGATCTCATCATAGAGTCGAGATTCTCGGCTTCCATAGCAACATAAACGCTATCATCAGAAATACGCTGAGTGAACGATAAGATCATTGCATCCAACTCACGAGTGGTCGGAATGCGCAGGGGTAGATTGTCCCGGACAATCTACCCGGACAATTTGTCCGCTAATGCAACCTTAGCAGGCTCACTCAGCTGACGCATAGTTGATAAGCTAGCCGGTAATGCCCGACCATACACGAAGTGTAAGTCGGAGCTGAAGTACCCACTGCTCAATGATGGCCTCGTTATATTATTACAAATGTAGCATGCCCGTGGTAGAAGATCGTACCAGTTAGCCTCTTGTCCAGAACCTCGGGCTGACTCCTGCAATAACGACCTTAGCAGGTGGTTAATCAATCGGTGACGCGACTCATGCCATCCTGAGAGGTAGCTCGAGTGGCTTGGAGCATGATACCACCGTATACCATGGCTGCGAGCATAAGCGACTACCGGAGTGGAGTGATATCTTTGATCGTCATCTGATAACACTCCCAAACAATACCCATGCTCCATGAAGATGGAGTCGAGACCTTCGACGAGCTTGTGAGCAGGACAATGGTTCTCGATCTTTCGTTGTACTATAAAGCCACTGCTTGCACAAACACCGATGATCGCCATAACAGACTCATGTCCCATCGGTCTCACACCACTCTGAACGAATGGGCCGATTAAATCAAGACCCATAAGCTCCCAAGGCTCGACACTACGAGCTAGCTTCTTGCCAAGAGTATGCCTTCTCGTTCGAATGCCTCTCTGAGCTACACAGACTGGGCAGGCGTTCTGTACTCGGAGAGAAGTACGCATACTGCCAACATCATAATCAGCGATAGTACTGCTATACAACTTATGTGCACCGATATGGCCATAGAATTCGTGCAATCGGAGTGCAACATCCCAGAGCTTACTGATAGGTACCACCAAACCACCGCTGACCTTATTGATAACGAAGCTCTCCATATGGTTCTCCTTCTCTACAAATTCATACTTCCGCTTGACTCGATCATCTAACCTATCGGCTGCGCCTTCAAAGAATAATTTAAGAGTGGGATCACGGCGCTGATGGTTAATAATATCAGACTTCAATGCGGCAAAATTTTCGCCGATATGCAATGGTAACAGGAGCTCATTGAGCTCATACTCGTAACTACTCCCTTCTTCAGGAGGGAAGTCAGCTCGACAGGCCAAAGGATCGCCCATACCACCACAATTCTTCGCCCGTCGCCGACTTTCACGTACGAGTCTAATTAAGTTGGAATCAGCATAGGGAGCCACTTTAATACGAGTACCACGAGAATAGGCATCGCTGGGGTTGTACTCCCCCGACACGTGTAATACCGTGAAGTCGTCAGACAACCCACGGATCTTCTTCACAATGGTGGCAACTATGGATTTCTCCCATGCTGGCAATTCCTTAGTAATCTTGGAATCCGATAGCTCTCTTAAGGCACTACGAATACGATAATAATTAGAAGAATTATCAGTTAAATAAGTGATACTGATGCTACCAGACGATCTACACGAGGAACACGCCCTCACCGTGGTAGCCACGAATTCAACAGACTCTCTGAAGGCTAATAGCTCTTTGCGTACGATAGTCCACCCCTTACGAGTTGCAGAAATCATCCTCGAAATACACCGAACTGGGCGGAAGTGGGCGTCCAGAACAACCGTGGAAGTAGCGTAAGCACTAGCATCACAAAATACGAACAATTCCAAGGTATCTTCACGACATAGTATTTCTCGAGGTATAGGTTCAGCATTCCGAAAGTCGGATATCAACGATTGTATAGCCCGATGGGTGTCAATACTCACGAACGCGTCCAGGTCCTTCAACCGCTCCATCTCCTTCCTTAGAATCAATCTCATAGAGAGCAATATATTGTTGCTGACACCACAAGGGTCGTACTGCTTAGCGATGATACTCATAATGTCACGACACGTGGTGGCGACACGACTCGATGGAAGACCAGAATCATCTTTGAGCATCACTGGGGGTGGTAGGTCAGGCCCGGGTGCATTAGCCAGTTTGTCACCCGAAACCCAGAGCATCCCCAGCACCTTCTGTGGCGGATCTCCCTGAGAGGGAGCACCGATACAACGCTTAACTAGAGGACAATTGAAACCGTGAGCCGCACAGACGCTCAAAGCACATGATAGGGCGTCGTGCAAAAGTTGAGATGAAACAGCAGCAACTACTATATCATCCATATATGCGCTGAAGGCCACTCTTTGCGACAACTCACTTTTAGAAAGCTCTGGGTGACTTTCCCCAAACTTCCGCAGTGCTGCATCACAGACCCGTCTCATGCTGTCTTGCAACACGCAAGGCGAATGGGGAGCCCCCATAGCAGGAGACACGAGACGAAACAGACGATGTTTCCAAGCCAAACAAAAGGAAAAACTGTCGCGACGAGTGTGCCTCAGCATATAGAAGGCCGTTTGGACATCTAAAGTTGCTACATGAGGGAAGGATCGGAACAAAAGCAGTTGCGGTAAGGTACTGCGAAGCACCGCATCCTCTTCTCTCTTATTGCGAAATCCAGTACCGACCGCGCCCCGATACACCGAACCATTCAGAGCTGGCCTCAAAGGGGTCGTAGGACTACTGTCCCTTTCAACAGGAAAGTGACTCAGTATCCCAGTAACCTCCTCATACTCAGCCTCATCTACTTCTACCAAAATGCCTTTTGCAACATAAGAGTCGAAGACTTTACCATAAGATTCATACTGCCCCGACTTCTTGAGTCGAGCCGATAGAGCATCGTCTCGAGCTATGGCCTTACGGATGTCACCCCGAGAGGGCCTTGGAAGCCGTTTTATCCAAGGAACCTTATACGTAAACCTCAGAACTGACTGCTTCTCACCATTCTCATCAATATGGTTGTCATCTTTAGTGAATCCGATAAACAGAGAGTCGGACTCATCAGAATTACTAGTCAATGAAGCAGCGAGATCTACCGGTGATGGAGCAGACGATGATAAGTGAGAAATACTATCCCCCTCAAAGCCTCTTTGGTCAAAACTATCAGACCAATAAACTTGATCGAAGGTGAGAGGAGTCTCCTCCTTCAAAGCACCTTGCAACACCAAGTTGAAATCTACTGACTCTTCCCCAGAAGCGGACCCGACGGCTTTATTAATTAGCTCAAGATCACTCGGAGAATATACAGAAATGTCTCCTCTATTCGTACTAGCAACTTCAAGCTCTTGGTTGCCAGCACAACGGCCGACCTCTTTCTCGGTCAAGCCAGCCTTGAGGAGAATCTTCTCCGGTGAAGCAAAAATCAACAATTGGAGCCGTCGTATAGCATCAAGTCCAAGTATAAGGGGGAAGGATAGACTCTTCACAGTAAGAAACCAAATGGGCTTTGTCAACTGAGGGGTAGTAACATCAAGCATCACAGCTTGCTTACAGACGAACTTCTCAGCGTTAGCAACCATAACACTTATATTAACATCACGACGATCAACGATGAAGGAATTCGGTAGTTTATTAAGCATATCGAATCGAATAAAGCTCCTACCAGCTCCAGTATCCACTAGTGCTCTGCAATCATAGCGACTGAAATGACTATTCCGAGGTGACAACTGTATGTCTGTGATCAACGGAGATGGGTTCGAAAGTTCATCAGTATACAAGGAGGTACCATGACAGAGAGTAGGATCAGTCAAAGCCGCACCATAAGGACTGTCAATTACAGTGTGCAACCAACTAGTGGAAACCGCATTAGCTACATCAAAGTTTTCCTCATCGTCTTCATTGGCTCCACGATCAGCTATCGGAGCCGCTTGTTCATCTGCCGGAAGTGCACGTTGCTCAGGAGATTCCTCAACACACGTCGCTGCCGAAGTAGTCGGAGATGGCTTCTTTTTAACGGACGCTTCCACAGCTGTTGGCTTCCTAGCCACAGCCTCAGCTCTCGAAGGGGAGCGGCACATAGCAGCAGTGTGCCCTGTTCCTCCACAACGCATACATGTGACCTTTTTACCAACCACCAATCTGCAATCGCTCCTGTTATGCCCTGTTCGGCCACAGCCTAGACATCGTACCGAGAGATGAGCTGGGAGATCCTTCTCACAAGCTGCAGCATTATGGCCTATCTCTAGGCAACGAAAGCATCTGTTCTCCTTGGATAGACGAACATAATCTATCCGCACAGATTTGCTGCGAACATCGGAAGCAGTCACAAGTTGTGACTCACAACGGTAGCAGCCACCGGAACCTGTCGTAGGGTAGATTTGGAAACCAACCGATCTTGGGCCCGTGCACGGCTAATAAGCCTTATACGAGCCTGTTGTACTGACACACCGTCCAATCGATAGGAAAGAGCCCAATCGGCATATGGCTCTCGTAGACTATTGCAGAGACTATCATAGATATCCTCGTGCGAAACGCAGACGCCATTCAATCTCAATCTATTCACGATGTTGTCGAGCACTTGCAAGTGATGAACTAGGGTTACAGAAGGCCCTTGCGTGAGAGTGTTGAACTGTTGTCGAAGCGACACGACATCTGTGGGATCGAAATAACGTTGACGAAGCTCGGCTTTAAGAGATGCATATAGTTCCGAAGGCTTTCCCTGAGCCAAGTCACAGGGTGGCAGGGCATCACGCACGGTGCTGTCGATGGAGTACAACAACACAAAATAAGCCGTCGGTGATGACAGACTGATGGCAACTTGATTCAGTAAGCGTTCAATCGAAACCATATGCTCAGCCAGAGAGGGCCCATCACTGGTCACCTTCCATACCGGATGCCCGCTAACCTTCATCTCCGTGCGAGCTTCCTTGCGAGCGTCGAAGAAGTTAGTAGTGGTAGCAGCACCACAGGCACCCTCAGTAGGTGTAGTCTCCCCATCGATTTCTGCCAAAGTCTTGAAAGGCGAATTCTTCTTCCTTGGAGCCATAACTTGTTCTCGGATGATTGTTGCAGATCAGGGATGAGAGACAACGTACTCGCAGAACGCAAGATACGATCGGCTGCTGACGAGGGTGTATACTACGCAGATGGTAGAACCAACTGTATATAGCTATGTCAGCTACTTATGAAAGAACGAGAGGAAGTAAGATAGCAAGATTGAGTGTCCGATCAGCAACACTCCCCGGGCGGCCGAAACCACATATTACTTCAAAAGATAGCAAAAATGAAGAAGAATATCAATGACTACTGATCAACAACATCAACTGCTGCGTTAACCTTCTTCAGGTTACCGATGTAATCAAATCTAACTTGACCAACAGTATGAGTGATACCAGCGATCACTCCATTGATACTAACTACAGTATAAATTACATCCTCAATCCAACGTCTATCTAGCTTATTGCGACCATGATTGTAACGCACAACCTGATCACCTGGTTTGAGACTGAATGAGGCTCTAGCTATGCTTTGACCAGCATAAGAACTGCGAGATCTCATCATAGAGTCGAGATTCTCGGCTTCCATAGCAACATAAACGCTATCATCAGAAATACGCTAAGTGAAAGATAAGATCATTGCATCCAACTCACGAGTGGTCGGAATGCGCAGGGGTA